CGAATGAACGAATGAATGAATGAATGAATGAATGAATGAATGAATGAATGAATGAATGAATGAATGAATGAATGAATGAATGAATGAATGAATGAATGAATGAATGAATGAATGAATGAATGAATGAATGAATGAATGAATGAATGAATGAATGAATGAATGAATGAATGAATGAATGAATGAATGAATGAATGAATGAATGAATGAATGAATGAATGAATGAATGAATGAATGAATGAATGAATGAATGAATGAATGAATGAATGAATGAATGAATGAATGAATGAATGAATGAATGAATGAATGAATGAATGAATGAATGAATGAATGAATGAATGAATGAATGAATGAATGAATGAATGAATGAATGAATGAATGAATGAATGAATGAATGAATGAATGAATGAATGAATGAATGAATGAATGAATGAATGAATGAATGAATGAATGAATGAATGAATAAATAAATAAATAAATATATATATATATATATATATATATATATATATATATATATATATATATATATATATATATATATATATATATATATATATATATATATATATATATATATATATATATATATATATATATATATATATATATATATATATATATATATATATATATATATATATATATATATATATATATATATATATATATATATATATATATATATATATATATATATATATATATGTATATATATATATATATATATATATATATATGTAAAAATGTAAAAACATTTCTTACTTCGGTTCTAGCAACTAACGTATGTGGAGGTTACATCAATGGAACAGCCGAATACACAGCGTTTTATGGGCTGTTACAAACTCAAGCCCCGCTTGGATACAGTATTGGGCTTTTCTTGAGTCAGTAACATTGGCATTACCGTTTTATTGTGGTGTGTGTGGGGGGGGTGTGGGTGTTAATCTCATGCACGGTCTTACCTCTTCTTTTTCTTCGTTCTTAATTTTAAGTGTTGAAAGGTTAGAACTGGAGACTATTTCGAAGTTAACAACCATGAGCTTTTGCCGACTCGACCACAATTAAGTATACGGGTCAACTGGCTATGCGCAATTGAGGCCATTGACTCCAATTTCAGCCTGCTTTTCTTTTTGGATTTGCTTTCAAGAACAAACTACAAGGCAGCAGTTGTTTGATTTTGGACTTTTCTCTCCTAGAAGAGTGGCTGTCCCCATCTAACGAGCCTCTTCAACCCGAGGGTTCGAAATCGAGACTTTTCGGTTAAGCAACCATGAGCTTTACCAACTTGACCACGCCGACAAAACAACTAAAAATAGCTACAAAAAAATCTAAATACTTATATCAAATAAAACAAATTTGGTTCTAAATTAAATCAAAGCAAATACGTATATTGAAATATAATATCAATGGAAAAACATTTTATTTTAATCATCTCAATTAGACCAAAACGTGTTAGCACCATGCACATTTTCACCTGAAAGTTGAACTACACACAGGTGGGCTGCTAGTGGCACCAAAAATGAGAAGACAGAATTACGTCACACTGTTTGACCCGTTCCAGTTGAAATACGGCAGGAAGATGGGGGCGCTGTTGATCATACCTCACATGCTGGGGGATCTATTTTGGTCGGCCTCAATCCTCGCTGCCTTAGGTAAACTCTAACCATTTTACTGCATTATTTTTGCCATAGAATAGCAGGGTTGTTTTAGTTCTGACGATCTACTTTTTATAATTTACGGCAATTTTTTTAATCTATTAGTGGTTTCAAGGTCGGTGTTTAAAAACTTTTGCTATATTATGTAGCTTACTTTTTGGCCATTTATTTGTGGAATATTAATTTTGGCCATTTGTGGGTTGTATAGCTTGTGTTGTGGCCATCTGTTGCTAGCTTTTTGTTATTTAATGATCTGCACTCTCTGTGTATTTAAAATATTTAATCCCCCAGACATTTTAGCGCCTGTTCTAATCCAGAACATTTATAACACATAAAACCGTCTGTTTATTTACGATACTTAAAAAAAGTATTATACACTGTTGAATATTTTTTTTTTAAGTTCGTCGGATCGTTCCGTTTCAGGGGGGACAGTATCGATTATTGTGGACATCGATCCTAAGATCTCAGTAATCGTGTCGGCGTTAATCGCTATAGTCTACACGTTCCTTGGTGGTCTGTACGCTGTCGCCTACACTGACGTCATACAGATTGTGCTGGTCGCCGTAGGTCTGGTAAGTGACGTATACATTTTTGACGTGTAAATAAGTGACGTTAACATAGTGACGTCAAAAATGGTAGACCTGGTAAATGACGTCACACGGATGATGTTTTAGTTGTTGGACTACGCAGGATTAAACTAAGTTTATATTTTAACTTTTGTCACTTCAAGTTTTTGAAATATGCTACTGGTCAGAATTTTACCTTTTTAGTATTCAAAAGTTTCAAAATATGCAAAAAATTATTTTTTTCTATGAAAGCCATTACAATTCCCTCCTGACAAAAGTTTATTTCTGCATGAAGAACATTCACTGAAAATATGGTGGGCATTGTTAAATAAATAGACTTTTTAGTGATAAAAAACTGCGAACTGATAAAAACAGCAAAAACTAACGAAAAGGAGGTCACGAAAATATCATATCTGTGTAAACTGCAAAGCCGATTGTAAGCTTTGGTGTTTCCGAGAAGATGGGAAATACGATTATCAAATACATTAGAAATCTAGCTTTCCGATTATACCATATACAATATGATGACGTATATAAAACTTTCGTACAGAGCTTCTAAGATTGAGGAAAAATGATTATTAATAAGGTAATAACAATGGTATTTTATACACATTCTTATTTTCTTAATACAAAAATAGATAAAAGATCTAAAAGTAGAAAAAATCATTATGACAAAAAATCAAAAGTTTGTTATTTTGTTAATGAGCGTATCCCCTTAAAATTTAATGATTGGAGCTGCTGAATGGTCGCATGATTAATTAAGGTATCTTAAAATAAATTGTCTTCATTCAAAATAGTGTAAACAATATGTAGGCTTATTTATCACTAAATAGAATCTAAACAATAAAAATGTGTAGACTTTAAAAGTTATAATATGTTAGCACATTAAAACTAAAGTTTGTGAAAGTATTAAGTTTACGTTAGATAGAATTTTAATAAAAATGTAAACTTTGGGTTAAATGCTTAGTTCAAGATTTGATAGTTTTGTGTTTATCACAGGTGATCGCCTGCCCCTTCGCCATGACGAGTGAGTTTGTTCACCTGGAGAATATAACGTCTACCTGGCTGGGGGAGGTGGGGGCGGGGACAGAGCTGGCCTATATGGATACGTTTTTGTTGTTGATCTTTGGTGCAACCACATGGCAGGTAGGTGTCAGTTCATAGCAGGTATGTGGCAGGTAGGTGTCCATTAGGTGTCAGTACACGGCAGGTAGGTGTCAGTACACGGCCGGTAGGTGTCAGTACATGGCAGGTAGGTGTCAGTACATGACAGGTAGGTGTCAGTACATGGCAGGTAGGTGTCAGTACACGGCCGGTAGGTGTCAGTACATGGCAGGTAGGTGTCAGTACATGGCAGTTAGGTGTCAGTACATCACAGGATTGAGTATGTTTTACTTAATATTGCAGATGAAATGATCTTTATTGAAGTGGGCTGTGTAAACAGTGTAAGAAACGTGATAAAAAACCTACTCACTTAGATGTATAGGCCTACCTGTTTGTATATATATATATATATATATATATATATATATATATATATATATATATATATATATATATAAATAAATATATATATATATACATATATATATATATATATATATATATATATATATATATATATATATATATATATATATATATATATATATATATATATATATATATATATATATATGTAAGCCCTGCTAGTGGGAGGGGATACCTCAAATCTACCCTTCTAACTAACTACTGTCCGGTCAGTGCAAGCACGGATAAACCCAGACTGGTTAATAACCTAACCTTAGTCTAAATAATAAAACTACTAAAAATAAAACAAAAACTTTAACAATATAATAAAATTTATTTAACAAAAATATGGAACCCAAAACTTACATAAAAAACTAGAATCTAGATCTAGACAAAACAAAACACTCAAGACATAAAAAACAAACAGAACTCAACGAAACAAAAAACCCAATCTGGACCACCGTCCATACACCACATAAATGTGACAAAGAAACTCTTCAACACACAGGCCTCGACATTCCAGAAGAATGTCCCTCCCTGTACACACACCACATTCACGAACAAAAAAACCAATACTACGCACAAGAAAAGAGTCCCTAATACAATAATAAGTAACATTCAGGATTTAAAGCAAAGTGGAGCCACACTCCTTAAACAATGTTTGCATAACTATTATCAAAATAAAAACAAGACAAAGCAATTATAAACCATTTTAAAATTCTAATCATATCAGCGCCAGAATAGCGAACTACTTTAACTAGAAACCACAACAATCCTGAAGAACACAAAAAGACATTCACCTTTTTGTAATAAAATAATTAAATAACTCCCCAGCCCCTTACATATATATATATATATATATATATATATATATATATATATATATATATATATATATATATATATATATATATATATATATATATATATATATATATATATATATAAAATTATTAATTTAATTTAATTATTTAATTAATTTAATTATTTTCATTAGTTATTCCAGTAAATTTATTTTGTTTATAATGGGAAAAAACATCTGCTACTATAGGTGACATTGACGTTTTTGTTTTTAAATACTTGATTTTATGCATACTTTATTACTATAATAAAATACTGGATTAAAAAACAGACATACACACAAGCACACACTCATACATACAAATTTTGACTAACAGAATATCCTGTTTACCTGAGACATCAGTCACGTGACAGTTAAACATTACATACCTAGATGGTTCCGATGTTTGAGTGTCTACTGCGTTGCATATAGTGCTCCGAGTGTCTCAGCTGGTTCATGCCTTAGGTGTATCCATGGTTACATGCTTGAGCAATGTGTTCTTTCCCCAGGCCTTCTACCAGCGTATCCTGGCCAGCCAGAATGTCAGGGTGGCCATGTATTCCACTATCGGCGCCGCCGTCATGAGTTCTGTTATGGCCGTCCCACCTGCATTGATGGGATATGCTGGGGCAGCGGCAGGTAACACACATTAAAACTTGATCCTGATATACTTACATTAGATCACTTACATCCGTTGATAAAGGTCTATTTTTAATCTGTTATGTGGTCATCTTAAACTAAAAGGAAACGTGTATTAAATGGAAAAGATTATTTTAATATAAGATTGAAGAAATAACTTTTATGGAAAGCAGTTTATGTTTAATATTACCTGAAAAAGGTAACTTTAAAAATGCTTCTTATTGTTAACTGTTTTCTTTTTGCCGGCAGAGCTAAATATTGTTCAAAGATCGCGTAACTCCAACGTGTGTCAAAGTTATGGGAGAGCACTCAAAGAATTTGAAAAAAATGTCAATATTAGCTCATAGAGTTTTGAATCAGACACTCGCAATTTAAAAAAAAATATGTGTATACACGCTCTAAAATTAATGGCCAACAACATAATTCGAAATGTTTAAAGCACTATTACTAAAATATAAATAAAAAGTTCAGCTGAAGTGCTCAAATATTCTGTATGACACGTGACCCAACACGGTCTGATTTGAGACTAGGAAAAGTAAATGCGGCTTTGTATGTCGCATAGCAGAAAATTTCTCCTTCTGCCTTAAAAAATTTGAACTCTCCTTTAGTCAGAAAAAAATTTGTAATTATTTTAATTTTTCTATCTTCATCCTGTATCCTGAATGTTATGGTACATTGTCGGTAAAAATAAATAAAAAATTATTTAACCCTTCCAGACTGGAACCAAACTTCATACGACGGACCGATACCAATACCAGACGACAGGAAAAGTTACATCCTGCCCATGACCTTGAACTACTTGGTGCCACTTCCGGTTTCAATTATCGGAATGAGTGCCATCTGTGCGGCCGTGATGTCATCGGCAGATTCTAGTTTCCTGTCTGCAGCGACGGTGTTCACTAGAAACATCTATAAGGAAATTATCCGGACAAAGGTTTGACACAATTTTAGCGTTTGCATTCTAATTTGTATAGAAACCTCTTTTATGGATGACAGGAATTCCATAACAATTGATTGGTTTCATTGACAAAATTTGTATTTGGTCACGATTTATTTTGTTATAATTTGTTCATGTGAAACTTTTTTATGTGGAAACAATACGCGTCCATTTGACACTTCTTTAGTAAATCGAGTTAACTGGCATCTTGTAATTTTAAAAACTCTCATCTTTGTGGTGGGTGGCGTGGTTCAGCGCTAGAGCGTTAGATTCAAAACTTAAAAGTGTCGAGTTCCGATCTACTATTGGAAAGTGTCTTGATTTAACTAAAATATACATACCTTGGCATTCAATAATTCAGATATAACGAAAATCGGCAGATACTGCTATTTCAAAAATATTGCATACCAATTATCATCGTCTACAAAGTAGGCCTACTTGAAGTTCGATTTTTTTTTAAATATTGGTAGACTCCAATTTCAGAACACGAAAGCGTCTTTGCACGCCATACCATTTTGCCAAGTATAACTTGTAGGCTAGTTAATAAAACAATTAATAACACAAGAAACTGTGTGCTATACCATATCATATTTATCTTACACAGGCGACAGATCGAGAGCTACTGTGGGTACTTCGTGTTTGTGTCGTCATTTTTGGTGTGTTGGGGACGTTGATTGCCATTTTTGCTACAACCATCTACGGGTTGTTTGTTCTTTGCAGGTGGGAAATAATACACTTTATATTTCGTTAATTTAAATGTATGCATGCTATACTTGTTTGTGTATTTCAACCTAGGTGTCTATATTTCAGTGACCTTATGTACGTGGTGCTATTCCCACAACTAATGTGTGTCCTGTGGGTGCCATGGGCCAACACCTATGGCAGCTTTGCCGGGTTTCTCGTCTCATTCCTACTGCGGATCTTGTCTGGTGACGCTGTGCTACAAATTCCAGCGGCGATTAAGTTCCCTTTGTATGACTACAGCACTGACTCGCAGTTATTTCCCTTTAGGTAACATCTAGTTTACGTATAAAAATGTTTAGCTGTAGAATTGTATAGACCACATCATGGAACTAATTCCGCATCATGTGTGTTCTAGAACCTTCTCCATGCTGTCTGGAACATTCTGCCTGCTGGCCGTGTCCGGTCTGACCCACCTGATGTTCACCAGAGGTCTACTGGACCTGAAGTATGACGTCTTCAACTGCCACAAGAAACGATCACACAAAAGACACGATATGATTGACATGGAGAAACCTGAATTGTTTAAACAAGAGTTGCTGGGTTCTGTTCCCACTTGAGGCTCTGTTTAGGTTTATTTTTATTCAATGTTGAGGTTTTGTAAGGGTTTTAAATAAAAGCTGCCTTTAACACAAGTACTGAATAAAAGTATAAGTAACTAATATGTAATAGATCTTTTCATTTGAAAAACGTTTACTTAAAAACTGAAAATTACAACGTTTAAGTACATTGAAGTTCCTTAAAGATAACCATTGAGACACCAAATTAAATTGTGAGTTAATTTAATATTTAAAGAAAAACATTTTATACAATTCAAATTGTGATATAAATATTCTTTTCGGTTTTTTATTTTCCCTTGTACGAAGTATAGAGGAATTATTATAATCGAGCGAATCGAGATTTTCAAAAATCTCGACTTTTTACACAACCTTGAGTGGGAAAAACATAGTTTTTTTATTTTGTCAGTGTGTCTGTATGTATGTGTGTCTGTGAACACCATAACTTGAGTACCGTTACTGCTAGGTTGATGAAATTTCATATTTTAGTAGTATATCAAATTTGAAGTTCTGTATCTCTTTTTCTGTATCAACGATTTCCGGTAACTTGAAGTCGAGCTTATTCTACTTTCAATTTGTCAATCCGTTTCTGATAGATTAATGAAATTTTTCATATAATTAAAAGATCTAATGCTGTATTTTCTATCAAATTTCGAATATTTTCCGATGATCGGAAGTCGTATTTTCGATTTCTCAAAAAATTTAAAAAAAAAAGTAGAATTTATTTTTATCTACTTTTCTCTGTTTTTCTTTATAACGTACTAAAGTTGCGCACAATTATACACAGTTTATTTGCTGTTTTTTGAAATTCTTTTTTTCTAGGAGATTCTTTTCTATTTTAAACGTTTAAGTGGGCATATTTGAAAATTTATTTTTAAAAAATCTATTTTCCGACTGCACTGGATTTGCCATCCACCTCTAAAGAATATTAGAAAAAAAAATTAGGGAAGATCACTAACGTTTTTTAAATATATATATATATATGGAAGCTCATGATTAAAGAAAATCATCTATTTTTACCTTTTAAGTGTGCATAAGCTTGTTATTAAAACGATGCTTATTCATTTTAAAATTTTATATTGCAAATACATCAATCCGATGAATAATTTTCTTTTTAGTTATTCTACTAACTTCAAGAAAGATTAATGTTTAAATTATATATATATATATATATATATATATATATATATATATATATATATATAAATATATATATATATATATATATATATATATATATATATATATATATATATGAATATAAGCTAAGTAATAAACTATTTAAGAATATTAGGATTTGCCATCCACATCTAAAGAATCTAAAGAAGAAACGTTTAGGGAAGATCACTCCCGTTTTTTAAATATAAATAAATGGTAGAAAATCCTCTGTTTTTACCTTTTTAGTGTATTATTGCATTAAAAGCTTGTTATTAAAACGATGTTTATTCATTTTTAGATTTTAAATTGCAAATACATCAATCTAATGAATAATTGTCTGTCTACTTATTCTATCGACTTGAAAAAAGATTAATGCGTTTAAATTATGTGTACAAATATATATATATATATATATATATATATATATATATATATATATATATATATATATATATATATATATATATATATATATATATATTATAACGAAAGAACCCACAGACACAGTTACCAACCCACAGCCACACACACATACACACGCACACATACAAATATACATATATACAATACTTTACACCATGTTTCAAATTAACTGAAATCGATAAAACCTATTCTTTCCTATTCTGGTTCAATAATGCAAAATATTAAGAATATTAGGTGAACAAATAAAATATACATATGGGAGTTTCCACCTTTGATCCCAGCTGTTTCCGAAATTCCCGTTAGTTAGTATGTTAAAATGTGTACATAAAAACCGTTTACTTGTTGAATTACAATAATTTAAAATACTGTCCTCTACTATATATATATATATATATATATATATATATATATATATATATATATATATATATATATATATATATATAGGAATATACGCTAAGTAATAAACTGTTTTAGATAAATAATATGTTTTGTGCATGAAAGTTTATAAAGTGTTACTATTGTCCACATATAAAGCCTCATTTGCCGAATTGTTCGAACTAGATACCTTTCAGCTCTATAGGTGGACAGTCTTCTATCTGGGAAGAAAATCGAAAAAATAAAAGAACTGCTTTTAAAGCTTGTTAGCTGGAATTCCAGAAAGTAATAGCATGAAATCTATACCGATATGGTGCATAACATGTACACACGTCATACATTGGTAACACATTGTGTTCATTTAATATAGTGATGTGTTGACTAATAATGTTAATAATTTGATTTTTCTAATATGGATTGGTAGCCTATGTTTTTTAAACGTGTCAGAATTTTAGCTATTTAGTTATTTCTTTGCTTTGACGATAATTTCGTTCAACGTGTAGTAAAGCTATAATACATGTTTTGTAATCCAAACTGATAAGAAAACAAAAATCTCAGGTGAATCGTGATCACCAACTAACAAATAAGTTATTTCCCTTCCCTACCTCTAATGTTGCATGACTATTGTCTCCCTTACTTACCTCAGTCAGGATGTCAGTAATGTTTTTGTGTTGTAGCTCATTGGATTACAACTTACTGTTCACATTTCGCTGCTCGATAAATTATTAATCTCATTTTTTCCTCTTGAGTGGCTTCGACCCCTTTAAGTATTGAGTGCAGTTGCATTAACATCACACATCATCGGTTACACAGCATTGTTTAATTCATTTTAGTCATCCTGTGACAGCTTTCAACATAACTGTCTTGTTAAAAGGGATCATTTGAATAACGACTCACAGATAGTTTCGTTTTCACTAAGACTGATCATCTGTATGATGACCGATGATGTACACACCTTCAATTTTTTTTTACGTAAAATGATAAAACATATAACTAATTCTACATCAAATCTGACCTAACTTAAACGATCACTATATTACAACTGAAGAGACAAATCATTTAGATTTTTTTTTCAATTATGAGATCAGTAGTTTTAAAACTTCTGAATTTAATTAAAAGTGATCAGTTAGATCCATCAAGTTTTCTGTTCAACATTACACCCATCAGATTATAAACAGCTTATAAACAGCTTACAAACAACTTATAAACAGCTTATAACTAGCTTATGACAAGCTTATAAACAGTTGAACTTGAAATTGTTAGCCATCCATCTCGCTTCCCTGCCGCTCTGATTAGTTCTGAGACTGGCAGCCCTGGATAGCTAATTAAAAACATAAAGTTGTTGGAACTCGTTTAATAAATGTGAACGATGTCTGCTCCACAATGCCTGGATACTAGTGCTTAGGACGTGAGATTGTCCGCAATACCATCTGGACTGGTGTTATTCATGGTACGGTTTTGTCATCGATTGTAAAAGTCTCCCGTATCCATAGTGTCGGGCGCTATGTAAACTAAATGTAGGTGACATAGTGCTCACAAGCAAGTGTCACACGACGACCGGGGCGCCGTAAAACAGCGATGCTGCAATGTGACACATTTTTTTTTTAAAATAGTACGATTGATCCCCTAAGCAAGACGCCCATTCAGCTAAGATCGCCCAGGGGAACTGGAACTGGTAGCGGCAAAAGGAACATAATTGCATGAGCACAGCTTCTACGATCTTTAGATCAATTTTATGCCAATGTAGACAAGAATTTTCTCAAAAATGTGTAAGATAGGATGGTGACTAAATAAATAATTTAGTAATTCTTTAATCTTTTTTAGAACAAAAACATTATATTCATCTAAAATAGTTTGTTACTTAGCCTATATTCATATATATATATATATATATATATATATATATATATATATATATATATATATATATATATATATATATATATATTTATATATATATATATATACACACACACACACATATATATATATATATATATATATATATATATATATATATATATATATATATATATATATATATATATATATATATATATATATAATTTAAACACATTAATCTTTCTTGAAGTCAGTAGAATAAGTAAACAGAAAATTATTCATCAGATTGGGTATTTGCAATATAAAATTTTAAAATGAACAAACATCGTTTTAATAACAAGCTTATACACACTTAAAAGGTAAAAATAGATGATTTTCTTTAATCATGAGCTTCCATATATTTATATTTTTAAAAAACGAGAGTGATCTTCCCTAAATTTTTTCTAATATTCTTTAGAGGTGGACGGCAATTCCAGTGCAGTCAGAAAATAGATTTAAAAAAAATAAATTTTCAAATATGCACACTAAAATGTTTAAAAGAGAAAAGAATCTCCTAAAAAAACGCGCACAAAAAAACAGCAAATAATCTGTGTATACTTGAGCCGAAGTATTGAACTTTATAAAGAAATACAGAGAAAACCAGTTAAAAATAATTCTAATACTTTTTTTTTAGAAATCGGAAATACAACTTCCTGTCATTGGAATCTACTCAAAATTTGATAGAAATAACAGCACTAGATCTTTTAATTACATGTGAAATGTCATATCTATCAAAAACAGTAATCAAATTATAGGCTTTTGAGAAATTGAAAGTAGAATAAGCTCCACTTCCGGTTACCGGAAATCGTTGAGAAGTGATACAGAACTACCAATTTGACATAATACTGAAATATGAAATTTCATCAACCTAGCTGTAATGGTACTCAAGTTATCGTGTTCACAGACATACACACACACATAAACAGACATACGGACAAAATAACAAAACTATGTTTTTCCAATTCAAACAGGAGTAAGACTTCGAGATTTGGGAAAATCTAGATTTGCACGTTTACAATACTTCCTCTATACTTCGTATACGAGAAAGTAAAAACCGGAAACAATACTTATATCACAATTTGAATTGTATAAGAAATGATTTTTTTTAACATTATATTAACACACAATTTAATTTAGTGTCTCTATGGTTATCTTTAAGTAACTTCGATATAGGCCTACTAAAAAGTTTTATTTTTCAGTTTTATGTAAAGGTTTTTAAAATGAAAAGATCTATTACATATTGGTTAGTTATACTTTTATTCAGTAATTGTATTAAAGGCAGCTTTTTTAAAAACCCTTACGAAACCTTAACATTGAATATAAATAAACCTAAACAGAGCCTCAAGTTGGAACAGAACTGAGCAGCTCTTGTTTAAACAATTCAGGTTTCTCCATGTCAATCATATCGTGTCTTTTGTGTGATCGTTTCTTGTGGCAGTTGAAGACGTCATACTTCAGGTCCAGTAGACCTTTGGTGAATATCAGGTGGGTCAGACCGGACACGGTCAACAGGCAGAATGTTCCAGACAGCATGGAGAAGGTTCTAGAACACACATTATATAATCTTAGTTCCATGGAGTTGTCTATACAATTTTATAGATAAACATTTTCATAAGTAAACTAGATGTTACCTAAAGGGAAATAACTGCGAGTCAGTGCTGTAGTCATACAAAGGGAACTTAATCGCCGCTGGAATTTGTAGCACAGCGTCACCAGACAAGATCCGCAGTAGGAATGAGACGAGAAACCCGGCAAAGCTGCCATAGGTGTTGGCCCAAGGCACCCACAGGACACACACCAGTTGTGGGAATAGCACCACGTACATTAGGTCACTGAAATATAGACATCCAGGTTAAAAGACACACACCAGTTGTGGGAAAAGCACCACGTACATGAGGTCACTGAAATATAGACATCTAGGTTAAAATACACACACCCGTTGTGGGAATAGGACCACGAACATCATATCACTGAAATATACACAGCTAGGTTGAAATACACATACAAGTATAGCATGCATACATTTAAATTAACGAAATATAAAGTGTATTATATCCCACCTGCAAAGAACAAACAGCCCGTAGATGGTTGTAGCAAAAATGGCAATCAACGTCCCCAATACACCAAAGATGACGACACAAACACGAAGTACCCACAGTAGCTCTCGATCTGTCGCCTGTGTAAGATAAATAGGATATGGTATAGCACACAGTTTCTTGTGTTATTAATTGTTTTATTAACTAGTCTGCAAGTTATACTTGGCAAAATGGTATGGCGTGCAAAGACGCTTTCGTGTTCTGAAATTGGAGTCTACCAATATTTAAAAAAAAATCGAACTTCAAGTAGGCCTACTTTGTAGACGATGAACATTGTGGGTTAGGTATGAAATATTTTTGAAACAGCAGTAACTGCCGATTTTAGTTATACCTGAATTATTGAATGCCAAGGTATGTATATTTCAGTTAAACAAAGTCACTTTCCAATAGTAGATCGGAACTCGACACTTTTATGTTTTGAATCCAACGCTCTAGCGCTGAACCACGCCACCCACGACAATGATGAGAGTTTTTAACATTGCAAGACGCCAGGTAACATAATTTACTAAAGAAGTGTTATTGTTTCCACATAAACAAGTCTCACTGGAACAAATTGTAACAAAATAAATCGTCACTAAATGCACATTGTTTCAATTAACCGAATCCGCGTTTAGGAAAATCACTGTCATCCATAAAGGACTTTCTTTTCAAGTAAGAATACAATCGCTAAAATTTTGTTAAACCTTCGTCCGGAAGATTTCCTGGTAAATATTTCTAGTGAACACTGTCGCTGCAGACAGGAAACTGGAATCTGCCGATGACATCACGGCCGCGCAGATGGCGCTCATTCCGATAATTGAAACAGGAAGTGGCACCAGATAGTTCAAGGTCATGGGCAGGATGTAACTTTTCCTATCGTCTGGTATTGGTAACGGTCCGTCGTATGACGTTTGGTTCCAGTCTGGAACGGTTAAATAATTTTTTATTTATTTTTCTCAACAATGTACCATAACATTCTGGATACAGGATGAAGATAGAAAAATTAAAATAATTACAATTTTTTTCTAACGAAAGAGAGTTCAACTTTTTTTACAGCAGAAGGAGAAATTTTTTTGCTATGCGACATACAAAGCCGCATTTACTTTTCCTAGTATCAAATCAGACCATGTTGGGTCACGTGTCGTACAGAATATTTGATCACTTCAGCTGAACTTGTGATTTAAATTTTAGTAATAGTGCTTTAAACATTTCGAATTATGTTGTAGGCCTTTAAATGTGAGAGCGTGAATTGAATTGAAAAAAAAACTTGCGAGTGTCTGATTCAAAACTCTTTGAGCTAATATTGACATTTTGTTTTTAAATTCCTTGAGCGCTCTCACATAACTTTGACACACTTTGGAGTTAGACGATCTTTGAACAATATTTAGCTTTGCCGGCAAAAGAAAACAGTTAACAATAAGAAGCATTTTAAAGCTACCTTTTAATGAAATATCAAACATAAACTGCTATCCATATAAGTTATTTCTTTACCCTTATACTAAAATAATCTTTTCTATTTAATACACGTTCCCTTTCAGTTTAAGATGACCATATAACAGATTAAAAATAGACCTTTATCAAGTGATGTAATGTAAGTATATCAGGATCAAGTTTTAATGTGTGTTACCTGCGGCTGCCCCAGCATATCCCATCAATGCAGGTGGGACGGCCATGACAGAACTCATGGCGGCGGCGCCGATAGTGGAATACATGGCCACCCTGACATTCTGGCTGGCCAGGATACGCTGGTAGAAGGCCTGGGGAAAGAACACACTGCTCAAACAGGTTACAATTGATACACCTAAGGCATGAACCAGTTGAGACACTCGGAGCACTCAACACCCACACAGTAGACACTCCAACATCGGGACCATCTAGGTATGTAACGTTTAACTGTCACATGACTGATGTCTTAGGTAAACAGGATATTATGTTAGTCAAAATGTGTATGTATGTGTGTGTGTGTGTTTCTGTGTGTGTGTGTTAATTGATCAATATTTTTATAATAATGAATTATGCATAGCATTAAGTATTTAAAAGAAAAACACGTCCATGTCACCTACAGTAGCAGTAGCAGATGTTTTTCCCATTATAAACAAAATAATTTTACTGGAATAATTAATGAGATTAATTAATTTAATCACCGGTCTTAACTTTCTGCTCCAGATATTTCTAACGTACGTTATATCGATATACATGTATATATATATATATATATATATATATATATATATATATATATATATATATATATATATATATATATACGAACAGGTATACATCTAAGTAAGTTGTTTTTCGTTCATTTATCTTACACTCTCGACATATCCCACTTCACCTACCTGTCATGTACTGACACCTACCTGCCATGTACTGACACCTACCTGCCATTTACTGACATCTACTGGACACCTACCTGTCATGTATTGACACCTACTGGATACCTACCTGTCATTTTCTGACACTTACCTGCCATGTACTGACACCTACCTGCCATATACTAACACCTACCTGGCATGTACTGCCACCTACCTGCGATGTACTGACAACTACCTGCCACCTACCTGCTATATACTGTCACCTACCTGCCATGTACTGACAACTACCTGCCAACTACCTGCCATCTACTGACACCTACCTGCCACCTACTTGCCATCTACTGACACCTACCTGCCACCTACCTGCAATCTACTGACAACTACTTGCCATGTACTGACACCTACCTGCCATTTACTGACACTTACCTGCCATGTACTGACACCTACCTGCCATGTGGTCCCACCAAAGATCAGCAACAAAAACGTATCCATATAGGCCAGCTCTGTCCCCGCCCCCACCTCCCCCAGCCAGGTAGACGTTATATTCTCCAGGTGAACAAACTCACTCGTCATGGCGAAGGGGCAGGCGATCACCTGTGACAAACATCAAACCATCAAATCTTGAACTAAGCAGTTAACGCAAAGGTTACATATTTGTTAAAATGACTACTATAAGGGCATACATTAAAAAAAAGGCTCAGCGTTTTTTAAAATACTATAAAATTCAAAATGGTGGAGGTTTTTCGAGTTACCATAACAACCAAAATTGTTTTCAACCCCTGTTTTTGCTGTTTAATACATACTTTCATGTGCCAAACACGAAAATAGTATTCCAACGCTTTAGATCTTAAAAATGTAAAAAATAGAAATAAACTGAGAAATTCTATAATCCTGCTTAGTCCAACATCTAAAACGCCATCTGTGTGACGTCATATACCAGACCTACCATTTTTGACGTCACCATGTTGACGTCAGTAACCAATCCTACTCATTTAGACGTCACATTGTACACGTCACTTACCAGACCTACGACGACCAGCACCATCTGTATGACGTCAGTGTAGGCCACAGCGTACAGACCACCAAGGAACGTGTAGACTATAGCGATCAACGCCGACACGATTACTGAGATCTTGGGATCGATGTCCACAATAATCGATACTGTCCCCCCTGAAACAGAACGATCCGACCAACGTAAAAAAATATTCAGCAGTATATTATTATAATACCTTTTTTTAAGTAAATAAACAGACGGTTTTATGTGTCATAAATGTTCTGGATTAGAACAGGCGCTAAAATGTCTGGGGGATTAAATATTTTAAATACAAAGAGAGTGCAGATCATTAAATAACAAAAAGCTAGCAACAGATGGCCACAACACAAGCTATACAACCCACAGATGTCCAAAATTAATATTCTACAAATATATAGCCAAAAAGTAAGCTACATAATACAACAAAAAGTTTGTTAACACCGACCTTGAAACCACTAATAGATATTAAAAAACCGCAGTGAATTATAAAATTTAAATGGTCAGAACGAATACGACCCTGCTATTATGTGGCCAAAAGGTGAAAAAATAACGCAGTAAAATGGTGAGACCTACCTAAGGCAGCGAGGATTGAGGCCGACCAAAACAGATCCCCCATCATGTGAGGTATGATCAACAGCGCCCCCATCTTCCTGCCGTATTTCAACTGAAACGGGTCAAACAGTGTGACGTAATTCTGTCGTCTCATTTTCGGTGCCACTAGCAGTCCACCTGTTTGTAGTTTAACTTTCAGGTGAAAATGTGTATGGTGCAAACACGTTTTGGTCTTATTGA